ACAGCTTCCAGACCAAGAGAGAAAAAAAAAAAAAAAAAAAAGATACAGGGTCTTACTATGTTACCCAGGCTGGACTCAAACTCCTGGGCTCGTGAAATCTTCCCACCTTGGCCTCTGGAACAGCAGCAACGATAGGCATATGCCACCACGTGTGGTCAATATTCCATTTTTGATAAAAATTAGGAATAGAAGGGAACCGTGTCACCTTGATAGAGGGTATATGTAAAACCTGTGGTATACAAAAGAATTGAAAGCAAATACTGGAACAGATAGTTGTACAAGAGTATCTATGGGGTGGGCGCAATGGCTCATGCCTGTAATCCTAGCACTGTAGGAGGCTGAGGCAGGTGGTTTGCCTAAGCCAGAGGGAGGCCTTATCTATAAAAATAGCTGAGCTTTGGGCGGTGCATGTGGCTGAAAGGAGTGAGGCACTGGCCCCATATGCTGAGGGTGGCGGGTTCAAGCCCAGCCCCGGCCAAAAACTGCAAAAAGAAAAAAAAAAAAATAGCTGAGCATTGTGGTGGGTATCTGTAGTCTCAGCTACTTGGGAGGCTGAGGCATGAAAATTGCTTAAGCCTGAGAATTTGAGGTTGTTGTTAGGGCAACAAAGTAAGACTCTGTTTCCAAAAAAAAAAAAATTTTCTATAGAAGTACTATTCATAGTAGCCAAAAGGTAGAAACATGCACCTCAGTGTCCATCACAGGTGAATATATTGACAACATGTGGCCTATCCATACAATAGAATATTATTCAGCCATGAAAAGAATTAAATTCTGACATGCTACAACATGGGTGAAGTCTGAAAAGATGCTGTCCCATATATAAAGGGACATATACTGTATGATTCCACTTAATCAGAAGAGGTGAATTCATAGAGGCAGCAGGTGGGCTTGGAGGAGTGGAAACAAGTAGTTACTGCTTTATTTTTTAACTTTTTTTTATTTTCTGCAGTTTTGGCTGGGGCTGGGCTTGAACCCACCCACCCCACCCCCAGTATGTGGGGCTGGTGCCCTACTCCTTGAGCCACAGGTGCCACCCTGCTGCTTTATTTTTGTTTGGGAAGATGCAAGGGCCTGGGAGGCAGACAGTGATGACAGTTACACATTATGAATGTAGTTGAGGCCACTGAACTGTACTTTAAAAGTGATTATTTTATGCCCATATTTTACCACAGTCACAGTATAGCCAGCAGTAAGGAATGGAGTGAGGGCTTCCCCCCAGCATCAACAATAAGGCAGGAGTCACCAGTTTCACCACATATGCCAGTGCCATCCTTGGAGTCCTAGCTAATGTGTAAGTCATGAAAAAGATTAAAGGTATTCACATTGGAAAGGAGGTGTACACTTGTGTTTATTCACAGATAACTTGATCCTCTATGCCGGCCGTCCTCAGCCTTTCTGGCACCAGGGACTGATTTCATGGAAGACGGTTTTTCCTTGGACTAGAGTGCGGGGGTTGCTTTTGATATGAGTCTGAAAGGAGTTCATTTTTCTTTTTTTTTTTTTTTTTGAGACAGAGTCTCACTGTGTCACCCTCAGTAGAGTGCTGTAGTGTTACAGCTCACAGCAACCTCAAACTCTTGGGCTTAAGTGATTTTCTTGCCTCAGCCTCTGGAGTAGCTGGGACTACAGGTACTGCCACAATGCCCAGCTATTTTTTTGTTGTAGTTGTAATTTTTGTTTAGCAGGCTTAGGCTGGGTTTGAACACACTAACCCCAGTGTATGTGGCTGGCGCCAAGCCAAGGAGTTGATTTATTATGGTCTGTGTGCAGTCAGACCTCCCCACTAATGATAATCTGTGTTTGCAGCCGCTCCTCAGCACTAGCATCACTGCATCAGCCCCACCTTAGATCATCAGGCATCAGATTCTCAAGAGGAGCACAACCCAGATCCCTCACATGCGTTGTTTACAGTGGGGTTCACACTCCTGTGAGACTCTGATGCTGCTGATCTGGCAGGAGGTGGAGCTGGGGCCGTGATGCCAGCAAGGGAGAGCAGCTGTAAATATAGATGAAGCTTCACCTGCTGCTCACCTCCTGCTGTGGGGCCCAGTTTCTAATAGGCCGCTGGATTGGTACCAGTCCATACCTGAGGATTGAAAACCACAACTCTATCTAGAATATCCTGTGTAATCTACAAAAGTGCTGCTAGAACTAGTAAGTGAGTTTACAAGATTGCAAGATAAAAGTTAATCATATTTGTATATGCTAGCAACAAGCTCTTGGAAACTGTGATTATTTAAATGTCATTTGAAGTAGCATTTAAAAATACACACTAACAAAAGATTTGTGAGACCTCTGTGGTAAAGCTACAAAGCCTTGCTGAACATTAAGTATGAATGGGGAGGAGCTCACATTTGGGTCAGAAGAGGGTATAATGGAAGCTTAGCAGCCACTGCTTGGCACCTCAGATGTGAGTTGTTAGCATGGTGGAGGGGAAGACTCTCAGGATGTCAGTTTTAACCAAATTGAACCATAGATTCCTAATAAAAATGTTAAGTTTTTTTCAATTTTAGAAATGACAGGCTGATTCTGAAATTCATAGAAAATATAAAAGATAAAAGACCTAGTATAGCTAAAACCTCTTTGAAAAAGAACAAATTTGGAGAACATCCCGCCTGACTGGCTGTGAAGCACGCATGTTGGAGGAACTGGATATCCAAATACAAAAAGATGAATTTCAACCTATATACAAAAATTAAGTGAAGATTGATCATAAACCAAACTATAAGACCTAAAACTGTAGATCTTATAGAACAAAACATTGAAAATCTTAGTTTTTCTGAGTTGGGTTAAGATTGTGATTGATAAAACTGGACTTCGTCAAAATTAAATCTGCAGAAGACATTGTTAAGAGAGTGAGAAAATGAGCCGGTTGTAGACTGGGCCAGAGTCGGGGCATCAGGGTGAGCCCTCAGCTGACACAGCCTGGGTGCAAGTGGCTGTGTCTGTGCATACAGAAGTCCTAGCCTGCCAGCTAGGAAAGCCCAGAAAATGATACCCTAGTAGCAGTGAGCACATCCAACACCCAGATCTTGGTTTCTAGAGATCTCAAATCATTGGCTGATTCTAGGCCTGGTGCAAAATGTAAAGTCAAAAGTAGGAAGTGCTGGAGGTTAGGGGAGAGCTCCTTATGGCTAGAGCTGGAACAATTTGAACAAGAAAATAGAGTCGGCTCAGCACCTGTAGCTCAGTGGCTAGGGTGCCAGCCACATACACCAGAGCTGGCAGGCTCAAATCCAGCCGAGGCCTGCCAAACAATAATGACATCTACAACCAAAAATAGCCAGGCATTGTAGTGGGTGCCCATAGTCCCAGCTACTTGGGAGACTGAGGTAAGAGAATCACTTGAGCCCAAGAGTTTGAGATTGCTGTGAGCTGTGACATTACAGCCCTCTACGGAGGGCGACATAATGAGACTCTGTCTCAAAAAAAAAAAAGAAAATAGTCATGTTGGATTGTAATCCAGAGCATAAAATAGTCTTAAATCCATACTGATATAGGTAAATGATTAGATAGATAGGAATCGTCACGTCTCCAAAGAAGAATATAGGCCCAGCACAGTGGCTAACCTGTAATTTCAGCACTATGGCAGGCTGAGGAGGGAGGATTCCTTGAGCTCATGAGTGTGAGACCAGCCTGAGCAAGAGTGAGACCCTGTCTCTACTAAAACTAGAAAAACTAGCAGGTGCCGTGGTAGGTGCCTATAGTCCCAACTACTTGGGAGGCTGATGCAGGAGGCTCACTTAAACACCTCAAGACAGGTGTTGTCCCCATCCTGCAAATTCCCATCCTGGGAATTTGAGGTTGCTGTGAGCTATGACAGCACTGCTGTGAACTATGACAGAGTAGATTCTGTCTCAAAAAAAATTTATGTAGATACTCGACACCTTTCATAGAGAATTGTCTAGAAGGAGAAACCTGAAAGGCATGACCTTAGCTAGGTGATCAAAGTTGACAGCAACAAGTTACGTTGTATAGAGCAGGAGACACGTCCAAAATCCTGAGGAGAGCCTGGCAGCAGCTGTGCCCAGCATGGGCCAGCCATCTTTGGTCCTTCATGTCTACTGGTTCCTGGGCTGGCAGAAGGGCAGGCTGAGCCCCTCCTTATCTCCCCAGCCCCCCAGGCAGCCACAGAGCCAGGAGTTGGTACAGCCCTTTCTGTACTTTCTGCCCTCAGTGTGATGGGCGCCAGCCTCCATCCTCTCACACAGCCCCAGGCCCCCAGCTGAATGGGTCATCCCCCTGGCCCAGAAGCCTCTCAGCCAGGCATGGAAACTGTGTGGGCGCTTGTCCTTGGCTTTGTCTTCTGTGGTCCTCATGGTTCTCTTTGCTCCCCAGTGACACAGCACATAAAAGAGCTCCTGGAAAGGAACAGTAAGAAGAAGTCCAAACTGAGAAAGAAACCCAAGCCCTATGTTGAAGAGCCGGATGGTAGGGCCTCTCCTGCAGCCCTACGGCTGCCTGCACAGCTCTGCTTTCCAGCTGCGGCCACCTGGCCTCTCTCTCTAACCTCTTCTGGGCTGAGGGTTGGGGCCACTAACCTCAGGTCTGGGGTCACCTGAGCCGGCTGGAGAGGCCACACCATGGTGGTGCCCAGAATAGTCTCCAGCCTACTCTCAAGGTTCTTGGTTGGGTAGGGCCTACCAGGGCTGCCCTCCAGTCCACCCTGTCCCAGGCTATGGGAGCCAATCCTGGCATTTAGAAGTCAGCAAGGAGCCTCCTCTCTTTGATGTGGCCCCAGGCCTCTCCCACCAGCATCCTCCCACCCACACAGTTAACCACCCTATCCCTACCCTTCCCTGGGCATGGTTGAGATCCAGGAAGGCCTAGTAAACTCTGTTAACCCTGTCTGCAGAGAAGGGCCTCTGGGGCTGGCTCAGGCTTCTCAGTTGTTGGGAAGCCCTGCCACCTTTTCTGCTGCACTCCCTTTCCTCTTGGAAGCCCTCTCTGACCACATGTGGCCCACGGGGCCTCAGCACAAGGCCAGAAAGCTTTCTGTAGATGAGACCTGCTTAAGGCAAACTCTGGGGCCAGTAGTAGGATGCAGGCTCCTATTGTTAATGCTAGCTGGCATCTGGGAGACGGGGGACTTATCCTCATCCTGGGGCTTCCCAGGCTGCCCTCAGCAGGTCTGTGCAGGGGCTGCCCCCTGGCCCAGCCAGCCTCACCCAGGGCCCTGGGAAAACAGAGGCCACTGTGTTGGGCTGAGTGGGAGGGACTCAGAGCTCTGCCTGACCCAGCCACCGGCTACCTGGAGGCTACACAGACACTGGCCATGAGTCCTTTTGCAGCCAGGTGGGCTAGGGAGCAGGACTTGCCCTGGACCCAGCAGCCTTGAGGCCTGTGACCTGGCCCGGGAGAGCTGCTTCTGGTGTTCCCTATATGGGCAGCCACATACACCCCCTATAAAAGTGGCCTTCACTACAGCCAGGTGGACAAGGCCAGTTGAGGCACTAGACTTTGAGCAGAGCACCCCATAGGGTGAGGGTCTTCCTGGGCTGGCTGTGGGTCTCAGCAGCTGCCTCTTGGTGCCTGGCCCCTTTATCAGGGCAGCACCAGCAGCAGTCAGTGCAGCCCCCCAGACCTGGGCTGCTGTGTCCATCTCAGTGCTGACCACCTGCTGATACCAGGCTTCAGGCGTAGCCCCTTTCCAGTCACCCTTGAAACAGTTGTTGTCTCCATCCTGCAAGAGGAAACAGGGGCATAGACAGTTTGATGTTTCCATTTTCACCAGCTTTGGGGTGGGGACCCAGGATGTTCCAGATCACAGCCTGTGCAGAGCTATCCTGGTCCCAGGCAGGCTTAGGCTGAAGGCCTGGATATTTGTTCCACCAGGGGCTCCCAGTCTTCCCTCAAGGACAGTAATCCGGTGTCTTGACAAGCTGCAGGCCTGGGCTTCTGCCACCTGCTGTCCACGAAGCTTACTCCCGTTTCACCTGCTGCAGGCTATGAGGGTAGAGTTTCTGGGCCCTATTTTAAGCACCACCCATTCTCACAGAGCAAAAGGGGCCTCAGAGCCTCTGTTGGAAGGTTCCAGAGGCTGCACACACTGTGTCACCTGCAGGCTGAAACTGGGAGCAAGGCCTGGGGGTGGCAGGGACCTGAGACAAGTGTTCCAGGACTTAAACATTTGTGAAAAACATTTATTTTGGTCATTCTAAAATAGAATTCCCTTAACAGTTAATAGTGATAAAACTACTTTATGGTGATTAGAAATGGTTGAAAACATTTTCATGTGTTTTTGAAACTGGAGTCAAAGGACACCCCCACGTCTACAGGAAGCTCCTTCCTTTTCTTTTTTTTTTTTTTTTTTTTTTTTTTGAGACAGAGCCTCAAGCTGTCCCCCTGGGTCGAGTGCCATGGCATTACAGCTCACAGCAACCTCCACCTCCTGGGCTCAAGCGAGTCTCCTGCCTCCGCCTCCCAAGTAGCTGGGACCACAGGCGCCCGCCACAACGCCCGGCTATTTTTTGGTTGCAGCCGTCATTGTTGTTTTGGCGGGTCCGGGCTGGGGATTCGAACCCGCCACCTTAGGTGTATGTGGCTGGCGCCTTAGCCGGTTGAGCTATAGGTGCCGAGCCAGCTCCTTCCTTTTCAAAACAGATTATAATTCCGACCCAGAGGCCCCCTCAGTCTGGCAGTTGGCAGACCCAGAGGAGGTGTTGGTCCTGAGCCCTGCAGTGCAGGGTCCTGTCCACTGGTGGCACCTCTGGCCTGGGCCAGCTCCTTGTGGCAAGGCCTCACCTCAGCCCTTCTTTGCCTGGGCCATAAGGTGCCAGGCACATCCCAAACCCACACACCATCACCTTGCCCACAGACACTGCTCAGGTGACACTGTTCCCACCCTCCGGAACACTCGCCTGGTATCCAGTGCCGGGCTAAGCTTTAAAAGCCCAAGGAAGACTGGGTCCCTCTTCCCTGCAGTGCTCAGAGGACCCAGGCCAGTCAGCTCAGGGATCCACCCCTGCTGCTTCCAGGCCTGTTGGGCCTGTGGAAATGACCCTCCTCTAGGGGCCCCCTGGGCCCACAGCCTGCCCTGTCCTGCCTGTGACTCCTTATACAGAAGAAATGTCCCAGCATGCCCCTCCTCGGGGCCATGGCAGGGGCGGGTAGGTGGATAGAGCATTATTCCCTGGGGCTGGGTCCCTCTGGAGGTGGGAAGTGACCCTTGGGCTGTGCTTTAAAGCAGGGGTCCTCAAACTTTTTAAACAGGAGACCAGTTCACTGTCCCTCAGACTGTTGGAGGGCCGGACAGCAGGTCCTGAGATGAGTCCGGCTGCTAAGCAGGACAGGCAGCTGCAGCAAAAACACCTGGCGGGGCAGATAAATGTCTTAGGTGGGGGGCTTGTGTCCCGTGGGCCGTAGTTTGAGAACACCTGCTTTAAAGACATCATCGGAGGGTGTAGGGACCCACACTGCTGACCAGAACCTTACCAGCCCAGACCCTAAGAGCCCTGGAAGGAGCTGTCTCTGCTCACCTCTCTCTCGGCCCTGCACCCCACGTCTGTACCAGGCTGACCAGCACTCGCTCTTTTCCAGGGGTGGCCATAAGCACGTATGCCAAGTACTGTTATCACAAGCTGCAGAAGGCGGCCCTGACGGGGGCCAAGAAGGTACAGGCACTTTGGGGAGCCAGCAGGATGCAGAGGGGAGGCAGCCATGGCTCGCCATGTGGAGTGTGGGGTGGGGAGGCCCAGGGAGCCGCTGCGTGGCTGCCCTTCCTGACAGCGCCTGCACCTCTCTGGAGGCTACCCTGGATCTTGGGAGGCCGATCTTTGGCTGCAGTGCAGGCCCTGGAGACCACCTGCCAGGCTCATTAAGCCCCAGAGTACCTACCCCTGGACCAGGCCCCAGGCACCATCAGCGCCCCCTGCACCCTGGATCCTGCAGGTGCCCGTCTTCCCTGCCCTGAGCCATCCTGCACCCACTTCCCCAGCTCTGTCTTCCTTTCTCCAGAGGGCACCAAGGCTGTAGCTCTGCTCAAGCCCATGCTCCCCTGTCCTCAGGGCAGGTGGAACTTCCACAAACACCCCACCCCAACCCCTCTGGAAGCCTGGCTTCCTCTCCTTCCTCCTCCCTCTGTTGAGCTCCTCTCCACACTCTGACCCCTTAAAGGGGCTTTCAGCCCTGCCATAGACTTCCAGAAGCTTCTCCCAGACCGGCTAGCCTAACCTTTGCTGTGGCCCTTGCCAGCCCAGATGCCCTTCCCCTTCCTGCATGGCTCCCTGGTGCTGGTGGGGGGAGTAACAGGAGGCCCTTGATAACTGAGGACAGGGCACAGGGGCTGCCGCAAGCTGAGCTGGGCAGAGCCTGGGTTGTATAGGGAAGTGAGGAGAGAGCAGTTGGGCCGGGGTGGCCTGGGAGAGGTGGGGAGAGCAGGGAGACCAAGCCAGACCAGGATGGGAGAGCGGGCTGTCTTCACAGGGGTTGAAGAAGCCCAATGTGGAGGAGATCCGCCATGCCAAGAACGCCGTGTTTAGCCCGTCCATGTTCGGCAGTGGGCTGCAAGAGGTCATGAGCATGCAGAAGGAGCGCTACCCCGACCGACAGCTGCCCTGGGTGCAGACACGGCTCTCTGAGGAGGTGCTGGCGCTCAATGGTGACCAGACGGAGGGCATCTTCAGGTGCCACAGCAGCCCTGGGCCCTGGGTGTGGGGGCCACAGCCGTGTGTCCACCATGGGTCTCTAGCAGGCAAGGGCCATTAAACCTCAGAGCAGTTGGAAGGGCAGGGCTGCTGTGGGAAGGTGACCCTGAGAGCCGTGTGGTCCAGGAGAGGCCAGTAGACCTTGTACTTATGAGAAGGAGAAAAGTCAGCTGAGTCTTATCTGGGAACAGCAGCACAGCTTGCCAGGAACAGTGCCTTGCAGAAATGGCCCCAGGGTCTGGTGGGTGTTTGGACTCCAGGCTGGGGTTGTGCCTGAGACAACCCTGAGAGAGGATGTACAACTGGCAGAGCAGGGCCTACAGCCGGGCAGCTCAGTGTCCTCGCCCTGAGCAGGGGTCAGGCAGCCCTGCCCTTTGGGGAGGGCACAAAACTGCAGTCCCCTGCTGTCCTGATCCACCTGTCAGCCCCAGAAAGACGTCTGGGAAGCCAAGGCTAGTGGGTTTGGTCCCCATGACCCTGCAGAGGATCCAGGAATCTCCACTGGGAGAGATTCCCCACAGAAGAGGGCACAGGGGCCCTAAGCAACACCACCCACCCCTGTTGGGACCAAGGCCACTCAGTGCCACAAGGGGTGGAGACACTGCTCTCTCCACCAATTAGCAGGGGCCAATAGGAGAGAAGTGTCATGCTGAGGCATGAAGCCTGGGGCAACCTCAGCTCCTCCAGCCTTGCCCTACTGTGCTCTGCAGGGTCCCTGGGGACATTGATGAAGTGAATGCTCTGAAGCTGCAGGTGGACCAGTGGAAGGTACCGACAGGCCTGGAGGACCCCCATGTCCCTGGTGAGCCCTTAACACACCCAGTAGCAGGGCAGGACTGGCTTCAGCAGTGGGGTCTCAAGGGTTCCTCTGGGCCTCTGGGCCACAGCCTATAGGATAGACAGCCACTCTCCTTTCTTGGTGTCACCCACAGCCTCCCTCTGTGCACACTGGCATCTTGCCTATTGGAAACGCTCCCAGGTGTCTTGCAGTAGCCCAAGTTAACAGCCTGTGCAGCCAAGCCCCACCAGCCCTGCTTGCTGTCCCACCAATCCCTCATCACAGCAGCTGCAGAGTTCCCCCATGCTTCCAGAATGGAGTCCAGGCGTTTAGTACCCAAGAGACCTTGGCTAGGTGGAACATTTCCAGATGTGGCCACTCAGTGAGGGAGTCACATTGCCCCTCAATGCATGTCACCCATTGAACCTCACTTGGCCCAGGGGAACCTACCTAGAGCAGGCCCACTTAGCCTTGCACTGTGTCCCCAGCGTCACTGCTGAAGCTCTGGTATCGGGAGCTGGAGGAGCCCCTGATCCCACATGAGTTCTACGAGCAGTGCATCACGCACTGCGACAGCCCCGAGGCCGCCGTGGCTGTGGTGCACGCTCTGCCTCGCATCAACCGCATGGTGCTCTGCTACCTCATCCGCTTCCTCCAGGTAGGCCCCAGGGACCTGCCCAAGCCGGCCCCTCCCCACCCCCCTGCCCCCACCCACCCTCTGCTCTGTGCAGGTGTTCATGCAGCCTGCCAACGTGGCCATCACTAAGATGGACGTCAGCAACCTGGCCATGGTAATGGCACCCAACTGCCTGCGCTGCCAATCCGATGACCCACGAGTCATCTTCGAGAACACCCGCAAGGAGATGTCCTTCCTGCGCATGCTCATTCAGCATCTGGATACCAGCTTCATGGAGGGCGTGCTGTAGCACAAGGGCACCAGGGACCGACAGGCTGGGGCAGAGCAGAGCTCAGTGCACCTAGGCATGGAGGGGGAGGGGGAGTGTCCTAATGGGGAGGTAGCATGCCAGTCTTCACCCTGTACCCACCCAGGTCACTGCCACCCACCCTGACAGAATCCTGCACTTGCCTCTCTGAGCAAAGGGGGCCAGATCCATACCCCAGCCATGGAATCCCCTGCTCTTACCCCACCCAGGCCCTTTGCCCCAGGCGCTCCACACATGATCTCCTTCCTGGTCTGAGGGTGCAGCCAGGGCAGAGGAGCTGTTGGAACACCATCTCTGGCTCCCCACCTCATGGCCAGTTCCTGTGGGCACTGCCTCACCCACCACTGGCCACCAGTCAGCCCCAAGAAAGTGCCTTCTGTTTCCTGGAGCCCAGCAACACTGCCCCTCCCAGACCAGCCCCAGAGCACAGGCCACCCTCCCTTGGGGCTGGCTGCCTCACTGGGCCTCCTGCACTCAGCCTGGCACTGGCCTGGGCCCTCCCCAGCTGTCTCACTCTGTCCTTCCTTGTCCTTTTGGCATCCTGGCCTGCAGCTCTGCCCTGCCCCTGCAGGCTCCTAAAGGAGTGGCCCTTCCTGTCTTCCCACCTCCTCGGCCTGCTGGTGACTGCACAGGAGTCTGGGGGCTGTAGGGCACTGGCTTGTCCACCACCAGAACAGGACCTAGCTGGCCTAGAGCATGGCAGGCTGTCTGTGCGTGGGGATGGCCCCCAAACCAAAGTCTTCTGGGGTGGGGGCCTGGCTGGGCAGACACTCTTGCAGCAGGGTGGGGAAGGGGTAAGAGTATTTTTTCTTGGTGTAACTGTAAATCCAGAATCTATCCCGCACCCTAGACCATCAGTGTATAGAGATATAAATAGAACAAAAGATATAAGAACTAAATTTGCTAATGACATAGTTTTAACCCAAATGCTATTTATGTCTGAGCCGTCCTCTGTGCAGAGCAAGTTGGTATCATTCCTTCTTTTCTTCTCTAATCTTTCTTGGCTTCGGACCAAAAACCAAGCTCTCCCCATCCCTACCCAGACCTGCGCTGACGTGAGGGAAAGAGTCGCAGCCCTCCTGGCCCAGCTGCAGGGGACACCCAGGTCCTTAGTTTGTACATTTTCCATTTTGTAAGTTTGAGTTCCAGTCGTTGTAAAACTTAATTTCTCCCCAGTTTTTATACATATATATTTTTAGAGTTGAGTTTTTATTTATTATTAAAAAAAAAGCCCAGCCCTGCCGAGGCTCGGTGTCCCCTGGGGGAAGCAGCTGCCTCAGAACCCTACGCGCGGACCCGAGAGGCGATTTGGTGTGAATAAAGTACACGTGGACACTTCGGCCGGGCCCCGCTTCCGTTTTTGGGCGCGGGCGGGCGGAGGCCAGGAGCCTTCTAAGCAGCGGGGCTCCGAGCCTCGGGCGGGCTCGCAGACCCGGCGCGGCGCTTGACTCTTGGGGTTGGATGAAGCTCCGGAACGCTGAGCGCGAGGTTGCGGCCCGCGAGGGTGTGTGCTCACGCTACACCACTCCCGGCGAGAACTGCTGGCCGCTTCCGGCGCGCTGGAAGAATGTGGTCGCAGTGCCGGGTGCTTCGGTCGCAGACTTTGGCCTTGGTACAGTCGCGGGGAACCCGGGCCTACGGCGGGGACGGGGGCGTCTCTTACACGCAGGGCCAGAGCCCCGAGACCCGCACACGCGAGTACTTTTACTACGTGGACCATCAGGGCCAGGTGGGCCAGCCTGGGGCCACGGTGAGGCGAGTGCCAGGGAAGGTCGGCGGGGCGGGGGTGGGGCCCCCATTGTGGGGCGGAGCCAGCAAGAAGATCGGATCCCTCTGGGCGGAGCTGGACGCCGAGGAGAGAGGAGCGGTCTGGCCTGGCCGGCCCCAGTGGACTGCCTCCCGCAAGGCCAAGTCCCCATGGCGCCCTACAGTTCCGGGCCCGCCTGGTGGCGCTACTGCCCCACCTGCTTAGAGTCCTGCGGAGGGAAGCAGGCCAGGCTGCCCGCGCTGAGGTGGCAACATAACTGATTAGAAACTTGAAAGGTGGTAGAAAGTGCGGGAAAGTTTCACTTAGCCCAGGGAACCTGTGCGTCAGGAACCGCATGCTGGAGTGCAGGTAGACGCAGGAGGGTCGGCAGGGCCCTAGGTTTGTTTTCCACGCCCCTCCGCACACAACGTGTGGATACGCAAAGAAAACAAACACGGGCTGGAACTCAGGACAGCCAGAGCTTTCCCGCCCCGACCTGCCCTTCTGTCTGTAGCTTTTCCTGGATGATGCCAAAATGAAGAATTTCATCACCTGTTTCAAAGGTACTGCCGCCCCCCTCCCCCCGTTCCTTCCTTTACCCTGGGCGGGCTCCGCATCCTCCCGGCCGTCCGCCCCAAGGGAGAGGCCGCCCTGCGCTCAGAAGCCCGGCTAAGTGAGGCCAGGTGATTCTTCGACCTGGACGCTAGCCCCTAGTGCAGTCCAGCACCCAGAGGCCTGGGGTACCCGGCATTGTGAACAGCCCACCCTTCACTCCCCAGACCTGCAGTTCCTGGTCACCTTCTTCTCCCGCCTGAGACCCAACCACAGCGGGCGCTACGAGACCTCCTTCCCCTTCCTCTCGCCCTGTGGGAGGGAGCGCAACTTCCTGCGCTGTGAGGACCGGCCGGTGGTCTTCACGCACCTGCTGGCCGTGGGCAGCGGGTCTCCGCGTCTCTCTTACTGCGGCGGCGGCGAGGCCCTGGCGGTGCCCTTCGAGCCGGCGCGCCTGCTGCCCCTGGCCACCAATGGACGCCTGTACCATCCAGCGCCGGAGCGCGCGGGCGGCGTGGGCCTGGTGCGCTCCGCGCTGGCCTTTGAGCTGAGCGCCTGCTTCGAGTATGGGTCCGGCGCGCTCACGCTGCCCTCGCACGTGCATTGGCAAGGCCACCGCATCGCCCTCACTATGGATCTGGCCCCTCTGCTTCTGTCGGCTCAGCCTCCCTAAGCCACGGCTGGGGGGGGGGGCGGGAAGCGGCAGGACTCCAGCGTCCCCGTCCGCTCCCGAGGTAACCCGCCGCTCCCTCCGCTCTCCGGGCACTCTCTAGCGCCTGTATCCACTTCTCCTACCCCGCGACCCGGCGCCCTAGTTACCGGCAGCCCACCGGCCGAGTGCGCGTGCGCGCTGCGGCGCCCTAGGCCCCGCCCCGGCTCTGTCCGTGGTGCTGCTGCGGCCCAGGAGTCCAGGTTCTCCCGTGCTCCCCGCCCCGGGCGTCCTCGGGATTGGCCTGCGTCCGGGACGTCAAGCTTTGGCGGCGGGTGCAGGGGGTGTGGGGCTGAGGTGCGCGTGCGCGAACATCCCCCACCCCCACCCCGCGGCCACTGCTCGGGCGGGGGCACGGCGGGGGAGCCGCTCGCCGCGGGAGCGCCAAGTGAGGGGCGCCCGGCCCAAGGTCAGAGGGCGTGAGCTGGGATCGGGTACCCTCCCAGCGCGGGGTGGGGGACGCAGAAACCACGCCCTTCCTCATTCCGGAGGGGTACTGACCTGTTCTGGAGGGGACCTTACTAGGAGGCGGTCGGGGAGTGGGGGGTCGAGGCAACGGGTCGCAGGGGTACGCGGGAGGGCTCGGCTCGCTCTTCGCCCGGGTGGAGGGGCGCAGGGTTTTCTTCACCTCGGTTTGGTCGGGCCCAGGGCATAGGGACACCAGCGGAAGCGCGGACGCCCCGCCCCTGCTCAGCCGAATTAGGAGCTTGTCCTGCGGTAAAAAGATTCCCGGCTCCTCTCTTCTGGCGCCCTCATTCCTGCCCCAGGGCCCTTCCACGCAGAGCTGCATCTAGCCTCGAAGCAGCAGCGCCCTGAGTTCTGAGGAGGTGGCTTGGCGCCCTCATCCCTGCCCCACGGCCCTTCGACGCTGAGCTATCTCTAGCCTCGGGAGCAGCAGTGCCCTGCGTTCTGAGGTGGTGGCTGCGGAGAACCTTCACTACTTGGGGAGCCTTGGGGCTGGAGGCTGAGTGGGCCCGGGCCAGCCCTTTGTGGTCAGAGAAAAGGATCCCAAGGGCCCAGAGAATTCCTCCAGCTGCTTGGGTTTCACAACACATCCTGAAACATCTAGAAACTGCTCCTCCCTGGGCCAAAGCTATTCTATTAAAACTTTATTGCTGTGCTTACCTCATATCTAGTGACTTTAAATAATTACATGATTACAGTTTAGGGCAAACAAGGCTACTTGGTACCTTTCCACATGGCTCAGTAAGCGGTGAAACCTGGGGCAATGTGCTAGGTGAGGCTGGGGGGGCAGTATACCCTTGTTCTGAGCTTCTGTGACTTTGGATGTTCTGATTTCTCAGCCGAAGTCCCCTACCTTTAAAACTGGGACAATCCCAGCCTTCTCATTCCAGTTGCATGCATGTAATTCTGCAAACGACATCCTCCAGCCTCAGAGGTCATTGTTCCCAAAGACCACTTGGGAAACTACAACAGAAACCCAATTGTAGCCCAAGACTCTGCTCTCATACCCCAGCTTTCCCAGGGCCCCACTTACCCCCAGCCCCACCCCAACAGAGCACCTTTCTGGGAGCTACCATGGGGAGCACAGGTCCATAGCTTTTGAGCTTACTGTTTGCCCTATCCCCCAACTCTAGCAAGATACTTAAGGAAAAACCCCAGTTCTAGATAAGCTGGTCCACTCACTGGTTCAGGCAGGTAGGAGCAAGAACTGGTCTATCCTGTACCTCAATTCCCTAATAGTTAGTGGTTCCTCTGAAACCAGCTCTGCTCACCACCGCTATGTGAACCTCAGGGCAAAGGACTTTTGGTTAAGGACATGGTCTAAGGTCAAGTGATACCCTGGGCTTTGTCCTGGGGGCACCAAAAGTACCTCCACTCTAGGCTTTGTCCCCAGGTCTTATGCCAATCCCCATGGGTGAAGACAAGGAGACATGTCTGTCCAGAGCCTATTCTTCCCATGGTAATCCATGCTCAGGTAACTGGGCCCTGGACTTTGCTACTCAAGCAAAATCCCTAGACCCATTCCCTGCACCAGCCTCTTGCACCCCAGAACTAAGGGGTGGCAGGTTGCCAGGTTAGCAAGAGCCAGATGTCCACACACATGTTGGAAACTGCAAGGATGAGATGAGAAGGGGACTGGTGGCTTTTCTCCATGAGCACTCACCCTATAAAGTGTCTGAAAAGTCCAGGAATCCTGAATTTGAACCTGATGCCTAGATTTTTTTTCAAAAGAGGATCCCACTCTCACCCAGGCTAGAGTGCAGTGGTGCAATCACAGTTCACTGTAACTTCAAACTTGTGTTGACCAGGTTTTCGTTTTTTTGTTGTTGTTGTTGTTGTTTTGAGACAGAGTCTCACCTTATCTCCCTCAGCAGAATGCTGTGGTGTCACAGTTCACAGCAACCTCTAGCTCCTGGGCTCAGGCGATTCCCCCACCTGAGCCTCTGGAGCAGCCGGCCACAACGCCTGGCTATTTTTTTGCTGCAGTTTGGCCAGGGCTGGGCTCAAACCCACCACCCTTGGTATATGGGGCTGGCGCCCACCAAGCCACAGGTGCTGCTCTTGACCAGGTCTTTTTTTTTTTTTTT